AAAAAAATCTCTGATCAAGTTAGATTTTACTGCTTGAAGCTCATGCTGACTACACTTTCACATAACCCTTTACAGCTAATTCACACAGTCTGCATCTCCTTTAAAGATGGTATTTCCAAGCAGGTCCAGTAACTTCTTTTTCATAACACACAATATATTACAATTGTCCCTCTAATTCTATGCATTGAGTATCCTCTATTCAAAATGTTTAGGAACAAAGTTTTTAAGGTTTCACATTTTTTTAGATTTTTGGATTATTTGCATATACATGAAGAGATTCCTTGGGAGAAGGACCCAAGTCTGAACACAAAACTTGTTTCTTTCAGACATTTCATATACATCCTAAATGTAATTTTATACAATTTTCCCCCAAAGTTTTGTACATGAGTCAGGTGTGGTGACACCTTTAATCCCAGGACTAGGGGGGGCAGAGAAAGGCAGATCTCTATGAAATGTAGGCCAGCCTGGTCTACATAGCGAGTTCCAGGTCAGCTGGGGCAACAGGGGAGACCCTGTCTTAAAAAAAAAAATCAAAACAAAGTTTCAGCTGGCCTGGAACTTACTATGTAGTCCAGGCTAGCCTCAGACTCAGGAACTCAGGATTACAGACATGGACCAACACACCCTGCCACAATATGGACTTGAAAAAGCATTAGAAAATTACATATAATGTAGATTTTGTAAAAATGCAGGCATTGCTGGCAAGACCCAATACTTCCCCACATACTGCCTCAGTTTACTCCTTTATTAGAGCATTTCCATACCAAGTTCTCTAGGTTATGCCAATTAATAAAAAGCAGAAAGGTTGGCATAAATTTAACACTTTTTTGGAGCTCAGAATAAAAGACTTCATAGCTTTCAATGGCCTATTTTAAAGAAAAGGAAAGTTGGTTCATTCACTTCATCAGCAGCTTTAGAAACAAGCACAAAAGCTTCATGCTGCCACAATTTTATTTTAAAGAACAATAGTTGTGAAAGGCAGGTAAATACATGGGAAATAAAATCAGGATAGGAAAATACGAAAGAGAAAAATGACAGACACAATTTCATACAAGAACTATATTAAGCTACTAAGAAAAATCATCCTATTTTATATTAGTCCTAAAGCTAACCTCAAAAGTTTTCTTTTTGTCCTGATTTTATTCTTTCAATCCCCTCTGGGAACACTGAGTACTACCTCCTCCTGCTTGGTTAATAAATGATTTCAAAGAGCATTAGAAGGTAGCAATTCCTTAGCCACCTACATGTTCCAGGTGTATACACCCCACCATTTAAGTACTCCAAAGAATTTTTTATGTAGCTCAATGTGCAATATTAACAACATGTTTCTATGTGTGCACTAACTGATGTCAAACAAGGCAACAAAAGCAGTGGTTTATGGGTCAATGTAAATCTCATGCTGGAGACCACCTCTAAGAAACCATTAACTGTTCAGTGTAATTAGACCAATATTGTGAATTATGAATTTATTTCTGTACTGACCTTTGCTTTTGTTCCCAATGAAAAATGAGCCTTATTGTAGCAGCATGTCCCCAGCTTTCCCCTAAAAGAAAAGACAAAACAGCTATATATTGCTGTTTTAAGTTTCTTAGAATGTCTCTGGTCAAATATAGTCATACTTTACAAAATTTAAAATGAGAATATTCTTGGTTAAAAATACCCTAGGATAGCCGGGTGTGCTGGTGCAAGGCTTTAATCCCAGCACTCGAGAGGCAGAGGCAGGCAGATCTTTGTGAGTTTGAGGCCAGCCTGGTCTACACAGTGAGTTCCAGGACAGCTGGGGCTATAGGGAGACCCTTTCTCAAAAAAAACCAAAAAAAAAAAAAAAACCAAAAAACAAAAAACAAAAAAAACCCAAAAACCCTAGGATATAGTAACATTCTAAGATTTAATAGTTTTATGTATCTAGGGTAATAATGCAAATCAGTATCTTCTATTTACTTTATGAAAATTTTATAGCTTCAGAATATTTGTCAACCTTTAAAAAAATATTTTATTTATTGTTTTTATTTTATGTGTATGAGTGTATTGCCTGCATGTGTGTTAAGTGCACCATGCATGTGTGTTAAGTGCACCCATGTTCTGCAATGCCTGTGGAGGTCAGAAGAGGGCACTGGCTCCCCTGCAACTGGAGCTAAAAACAGTTATTAGCTGCCATGTGGGTGCTGAGAATTGAACCTGGGTCCTCTGCAAGAGCAGTCAGTGCTCTTAACCACTGAGCCATCTCTCCAGCCCCATTGTCAACCTTTTATAACATCAAGCCCACTAATACATTTCTGACACTTAGAAAAGTAAAAACTTCTAATTTTATTTTGGTTTTTTTTGTTTTGTTTTTTCGGTCTTTTTGAAGCAGGGTCTCCCTATAAGCCAAGCCCCAGCTGTCCTGGAACTCACTATGTAGACCAGGCTGGCCTTCCTTGAACTCAAAGAGATCCACCTGCCTCTGCCTCCCAAGTGCTGGGACTACAGGCGTGCGCCACCACGCTCGGCAAAACTTTTAATTTTTTAAAAACATAGGATCCATATTGCCCAAGCTGGCTTGTAACTCCTGGGCTCAAGTGCTGATCATACTGTGATCTCCTGCATAGCTGAGACTACTGGTATATATCACCATCATTGGCAAACAGAGCATTCTTATTGACTTTAGTAGAAATAAATCTTGAATCATTATGCTCTAAGAAAGTCATGACAGGGGTTAGAAATAGAGTATCTATTTGCACTAGTATGATTTCTATTTAAAAAGAATCATTTTGCCTCCTGCGTAAGACTGCTGCTTTGATGTGTAGAGTTTCTCTTTGGAATATTTAGTTCCCAGGTATCTAACATAGTTGTCAATAGTAGTAGATACTCAATAAATGTTTGTTAAATTGCAGAAGAAACAGTCAGCATCTCAGAGCACTGTGCTCAGTGATAAGATGTGTCAGCAAAGAAGACAGTCTCTGCTTTCATCAAACTTAGTGTTCATTAAGCATCCAATGAAAAGGTAGGAAAATGTAAAAATGAAAATACTTAAGTCATTAATTTACCCACCTAATGCAGGAACAAGCAATGCCTGATTTTTATCAATCTTTGTTGTCATTTGATTGGTTAAAATGACCTATAAAAGCAAAATGTGATAAAGTTAGGATAGTCTCTCCAGAAGTTACATGTAAGTAGTCCTGGGATTTTAGTATTCTGAATGTAATAACTATTAAAAGAAAACATATTTGGGTAAACAAAATATTTCTGATGAAAAGGGAGGGAAGGGGACACAAGGGGAATATGCTCAATATACAGTATTTTCTAAATTTTCTGAAGTTTTTCATAAAAATTATTTATCTTAAAACATGATTCTATTGACCCAAAATTTTTTGAGACAGGATCTTCTGTAGTTCCAGCTGGCCTGAAACTTGCTATGCAGACCAGGCTGGCTTCGATCTCACAGAAATCTACCTTCCTCTGCCTCCTGAGTGCTGCTGGGAGTAAAGGGATGTGCCACCACACCTGGCAACCAGAAAAATATTAAGGAAAATAATTCTTATTGTAAAAATTGAATGGGTGTGGTTAATCCCAGCTCCTGGGAGGCAGAGGCAGGTGGATCTCTGTGAGTTCAAGGCCAGCCTGGTCTACACAGTGAAGACCAGGCCAGTTGGGGCTACAGGGAGACCGTTTTAAAAAGACCAAAAAGAAGCTAGGCATGGTGGCACACACCTTTAATCCCAGCACTTGTGAGGCAGAGGCAGGTGAATCTTTGTGAGTTTGAGGCCAGCCTGGTCTACACAGTGAGTTCCAGGACAGCTGGGGCTACAGGGAGACACTGTCTCAAAAAGAAAAAGAAAAAAAGAAAAAAAATTGAAGAAAATATATGCCAAACTATTTATAAAGATCTAAAGAGTAAAAACTTTGTAACTGGGAGAATTTTTTAAAAAACTTTTTTTATATGTAGAGGCATATACATGTTGGGGGAGTATTCATGTGTGAGGAGGGATTATACATGTGTGGAAGGGGGATGGGCTCACCTATGTACATGTGGAGGTCAGATGTCCACTTTGGGCATATTCTTCTATTGCTATCTTCTTTTTCAAAAATTATGTGTGAAGAAGTTTGAGACCCTAGCAGACAGCCTGAGAGGGTGGGTTTGGACCTCCATCGGGGTAGTGGCTCAGAGCTCAGCAGACCACCAGACAGTGCCGGGTTCTGGCCTCCAACTACCAAAGGCCCTGAGAACTCAGGGAACCTCCTGACAGCCCCCGGATTCTGTTTCTACATGGTGGTCCTTTTAATAAGATGATGCTATATAGCAGTCCTTTCTGCATGAAATAACTACCATCATCACGACTTTGGCTGAGCCTGACCACTAAACATAGTTACAACCGGGCTTGTTGACGGTTGTGCTCATTCATTAAAAGAGTGCCAAGCAGGGTCACTGGACCCTCACCTGAGTATCCAGCCACTCTTCCCAGCCAACTAATCCAGCCTTGGAAGACAAAAGAAAAATGAGGAAGAACCTAACAGAGAGATGCTTTTGAAAGCCCTTGTCAAGAAACCCCAATGGACTCTTATATGAACATTTGAAAATTGCCCTGTTCTGACTTTTTTCTAACTCCGTGTCTAGAACTTGTAATAATTACTCTTGCCTTTACTTCTCCTTCACATCTCCTATTCATGACTCAAGGACTTTCTTTTCCCCTTAGAGACAAGAGTTATGCAATTCTGGAGTCTTTTAGATAGACCCACTGAAGGGGTACTCCAATTGCCTCACCATGCATGCCTGTTCAGCATGGAAGAAGCCAGAGAGGTCTGCATCCCTATTCCCTATTGGCAATTTGGGTAACCCCTTCAGAGGATGGAGTGATAAGAATAGGAGATAGGAATTGGCTAGGCAGTTAGGGTAAAAAGACCCCAAAGAAATGTAGCCAGTTTTCTGGCTAAAAGTAAAAATA